TTAGGTATTTTATTCTTTTGGGTGCAATTGTAAATTGATTATTTTCTTAATTTCTCTTTCTGCTACTTCATTATGAGTGTATAGAAATGCAATAGATTTCAATATATTAATTTTGTATCCTGCAACCTTATTGAATTCATTTATCAGTTCTAATAGTTTTTTGGTGGAATCTTTAGAGTTTTCTATATGTAATATCATGTCATCTACAAATAGTGATAATTTTACTTCCTCCTTGCCAATTTGGATGCTTTTATTTTTCTTGTCTGATCACTGCAGCTAGGTCTACGTTTACTTTTTTTTTTTTAATCTAAAACTGTTACTATTTTAGCATTTAACATTTTATTCTAAGGTAAATAAAATTTATTTGTATTATATATATATACACATATATATGTATATGTATATATTTATATTTGTTTTTAAAGATTTTATTTATTTACGGACGCCTGGGTGGCTCAGTTGGTTGAGCATCTGCCTTCGGCTCAGGTCATGATCCCGGGGTCCTGGGATCGAGTCCCGCATCGGGCTCCCTGCTCAGTGGGGAGCCTGCTTCTCCCTCTCCCTCTGCTGCTACCCCAGCTTATGTTTTCTCTTTCTGTCTCAAATAAATAAAATAAAATCTTTATTTGACAGAGAGAGCACAAGCAGGGGAAGTGGCAGAGGCAGAGGGAGAAGCAGGCTCCCCGCTGAGCAAGGACCCCGATGTGGGACTCGATCCCAGGACCTCAGGATCATGACATGAGCCGAAGGCAGATGCTCAACCAACTGAGCCAACAAGGTGCCCCTATTTTTTAATATTTTAAGATGGATATTTGGCTTAAAAATAGATTAGAAAACTTGCTTTTTCAGTCTACATTTGCACCGTCTACATCTAAAGAGGCTGAAAAAAATGAAACTGACATGTCACAGAGTTTTCGGACTCATGAAAGAGAGGGATTGACTCCATAGAACTGGGTAACACTATAAATTAGCAATGAAAATATGACAAGAGCGGAAGATATGAAGCTGACCTAGATGCGTGCCACATTGAACTTTATCTGTGTCCCATGCTCCTGGAAAGCAGTGACAATTGAGAATCCCCTCCCCCTCCCACACTTCATGTCTGGTAAAAGACCACCCTGACCTCACATATTCTGAGACGGGGCTCACCTCCACCACTCATCCCTCATGACCCTATGTCTACCTGCCTCTATAAAACACCAGACTCTTTCCTTTTTGAGATATTCCTCATTAATGAACATTCTCCCTAGGGCAATATTTTGAGTAAAACCATTTCCTTAATTGTTGGTGCATTTTATCTTTGATAGTTTTGATGCCGAGACTTGTATAGGAGCAAAGCTTATGGTGGGATCCCTGCTTACCTCACCCATGTGATGAACTGTTCTCTTCCTGGCTGGTGATCTGAGACCAATGCTATGTCAGACTTCTGGTCCTGCACCTTGGACTCTTGTCAATCAATAGCATGGTAAAGATTCTGTTTTGATTCTTTTTGAGTGCTCACTTGATTTCTGGAGCTGGCTTCTTCTGGTTTCGTGGTCTGATCATTTAGGTTATAGAGATCTTTGTTGTGTAAAAGATGGTAGTGAATCTTGTTTGTTACTGTTTTCTGTTTGTCTACTTTGAGCTGAAATCAGTTAAGGATTCAAACCCACTGGGAAGAGAACAGTTCTTGACATGGAGCAGTGAATTCCGTTAACCTGTGTTTACTGTTGACCAGGGCTGAAATTTTAGAAATGGAGCTATAAGCAATCTGTCTGCATGTTGATGTATGTCTCTGTGATTCAAAAAGGGCTTCATTTCTCATTGTGTGAGTGTGTGATATTTTTCTACCTCTGGATGGTATTGCCAAATTAGATTATAAAATCACCTAAATTAAAGGAGCTTTGTTCTGATTGACTTAGAGATAAAGAAGCACCTTATATAAATGGGATATTGTTAAGGATTCCCAGAAGTTAAGGAAACTGAATTTTTAACACTTTCAAAGAGGAAATCAAGTGAGAAAAAAATTTATAGAAATTAACTCAGAAATATTTTAAGAACAAGTTCACACTATTTAGGCAAATGAGGTGAGTTTAATATTTTTAAACTAATTTAGTATTTTTGGTTTAATAAAAAACATCTTTGTCTTCTCTGTGCATTAAGTGTTATACAAGATTATATTTTTTATCTACTTGGGTATATTCTTCCTAAGCTTATGCATATTTGGTGATCAAATAAGCTAACATTATTTATACTACCTGTTTAAGATTATGAAACATATATGTTTGTATTTAACCAAGTCAGGTTATCATTATGACAAACTTTATTTCAACAGTAATTGTGTTTCCTGGTATGTCCACTTGAAGATAATTGCCAAGATGTTTGTGTAATTTAAATCCTTGGAGTTATACTACACTGGGTTAATTAATGGCCATTCACTAGATAGACACCTGGATCACCTCCAAGTCAGAGAATGCTGAATCATTGGCTACTAGGCATAATTTAAATTTTACATTCTTTTGCTTCTTATTTGTATTTGCTCCAGAGGGCCATGTCTTTGGGCCTGTAACAAACATGCTCATTTCAGCCACTTTGAGAAGTATATAAAGGAGGTGTGAGGCTGTTCGTGAGTTCTTCTCAAAGTGCTGGTGTGTGACAGACAGCGCAGTGATCCCCCCTCTACTATCTCTGTGAACCGGAAGTTAGCTACTTTGGTTAAAATGATCACTAGTATGTGGTTTTCATTACACCTAAGAGAAATAGTTTTGGAGAAACACAACTGAGTGTGCATTTCTGTTTCTCAAGGAAAACAATAGTTTTGTCCCAAAGAAGTGGTGTGGTTCTCCATCCCCTTTCTGTGCTCTTCAAGCTTATTGAAGACCCCAGAAGCTTTCTTTGTGGTTCTAACTATTGATATTTACTGTATTGGCAATTGAAACCAAGAAAACTTTCAAGTGCTTACTTACTGATTCATCTGGCGATAGCAACAATGAACACACTTCACGTTAAGAACATCTCAATAATGCTATGAAATTAGTTCTGACCATGTGGACTCCCTGTGCTATGGTCTGAATGTGTCCCCCCCCCAACATTCCTACATTGAAATCCTAATCTCCAAAAATGGTGATATTAGGACATAGGGCTTTGGGAGGTGGGTAAGTCATGAATGGGGTTAGTGCTCTTATAAAAGAGACTCCAGTGGTTTTATTCTTTTTTACAGATTTATTTATTTCTTTGAGAGAGAGAGAGAAAGGGGGAGGGGTAGAGGAAAGGGAGAGAATCCTCAGGCAGACTCCCCACTGAGTGTGGAGCTGATGCAGGGCCCTGAGATTATGACCTGAGCCAAAACCAAGAGCTGGACCCTTAACGACTGAGCCACTCAGTTGCCTCTTTCTTTTTCTTTCTTTTCTTTTCTTTTTCTTTCTTTCTTTCTTTCCTTTCCTTTCCTTTCCTTTCCTTTCCTTTTTCTTTCTTCCTTCCTTCCTTTTCTTTCTTCCTTCCTTTCCTTTCCTCTTTTTCTTTCTTTTCCTTCCTTCCTTCCTTCCTTCCTTCCTTCCTTCCTTCCTTCCTTCCTTCCTTCCTTCCTTCCTTCCTTCCTTCCTTTCTTTCTTTTCTTTCTTTTCTTTCTTTTCTTTCCTTTCCTTTCTTTTAATTGAAGTATAATTAACATACAGGGTTATATTAGTTTCAGGTGTACCATATAGTGATTCAACAATTCTATACGTTACTCAGTGCTCATTACGGTAAGTGTACTCTTTGTTCCCTTCCTGTTTCACTCATCCCCCCACCATATTCACATATATGCATATATATTTGAGGACTGAAAAAAACACTAAAATAAAAGTTTTCTCTTAGTGTTGTGATGTTAAAATAAATAAAATAAAATAGGCTCCGGGAAGATTCCCTAGGCCCTGGCACCATATGAGGATAGGAGAGGTCTGTGACCCAGAAGGTGGCCCCCACCCTACCATGCTGGCATCCTGACCTCAGACTTCCTGTCTCCAGAACTGTGAAAAATAGATGTCTGTTGCTTATAAGCCACTCAGTCCATGGTATTTTGTTATAGCAGCCTGAACAGATAGCCTGAGATTGATCTAAAGTGTCTGTTTGTTCCAGAATATAAAAGAGTGAAATGAAAGACAAAATTTGGAAATGAATTGTACCTATTTTTATAATACTCAAGTTTGAAAAGTTAAAATCTTAGCAGTTTTCTCACTTTGTTGGGTTTGTTGCCTTTTTTTACTGTTTATGCCCTCACCTACAAGATACAGGATTATTTATTCTGTTATTTAATGTACCTAGGCAACAAAAAGGATTTATCTCACCAGAATAGCCTTCTCTGGCTTATACTGATTATTATGTCTTTGATTATTTAGGAAAGCAAAGTTTCTCATTTAGGAATGTGAGCCAAGGTTTTTGGCAATCATATTATCTTGAAGGTTTATTTCTAAAAATGTTTTAATGTTTTATTTTCACTCTAAAATGAATAGCCAAATATTGTTTCTAAGGCATCCCATGATTTGATTCCTATCTTAAGTATTTAAATCTGATAACTCTGATTTTTGCCTTCCCAATATTGAATGCTAAGGATAAAAATAAATTAAATAAGATAAGATAAAATTTCCAAGGTCTCACCTGGAATGTTCTATCTGGGAATTATGCTCCATCAGGGTATCTTCTGTGCCTAAACTTGTCTTTGAATTTCCCAGAGGATACCTAGAAAACCACAAAAAATTTGTTCTTACCTATTCTTCTTTGAAAATAGGGTTAATTATGTATATAATTATTTTGTCTATATAATGAACTCATTTCTCTTTTCTTTTAAGTTGTCTGCAACTTATAACAACTTAGTAGATTATGATTTTATGAATAGAAATCTACCATTTGTAAATGACATCTTTTTTTTCCTACCTGACCCCTCCAGATTCAAAACTCTTACTGAGTACTCTTATTTTCTTAGCAATGTAAGTTACTGTCATAAATTCAGTAAGAATCTGTCCTTGTTAACAGGAAGTAATTGGAAACAGTGGCTATGGACCCAAAGTGTTGCCTGGAATGCCATATTTGAAAATGATGATCATCTAATCAGACATGACCAGACACTTTTAAGAAGCTAAGGTTGACTTCGTGGAGCCCGTGCTTACAAAACTCTGTTTGGAACATTGGCCTTGTTCCTGGTTTACAGGTCTCCTGGCCTTGTAGGTGAGTAAGGAAGGTCACCTCTTGGCAGGCCCAAGAGCTTTAGGATATTTTGGGAACCTTGAAAATAGAAGAATTCCCTCAAGTCTGTGGGTACTGCAGATGATATCTGGTGGCAGATTCTTTGCTTGGTTTCCTAGCTTCAGGAAGCTTTTATTTTATTTTTAAATTTTTATTCTTTTTTTTTTTTAAGTAGGCACCACACCCAGTGTGGAGCCCAGTGCAGAGCTTGAACTCATGATGCTGAAATCAAGACCTGAGCTGAGATCAAGAGTCACTTAACTGACTGAGCCACCCAGGCGCCCCTTTATTTTTATTCTTTTTAAAAGAATATTTATTTATTTGAGAGATAATGACAGAGACAGAGAGAGAGCACAAGTGAAGAGGAGAGGGAGAAGCAGGGAGCCCGACACAGGGCTTGATCCCAGGACCCTGGGATCATGACCTAAGCTGAAGGCAGATGCTTAACCGACTGAGCCACTCAGGTCAGGTGCCCACCTCTATTTTTATTCTTTCTTTTTTTTTTAATAAGAAGTTTATTTAAGCAAGACACTTGACTTGAAGGCAAAGCTATCTAGGATTCATTTCTTTTAGAGTAATTTATCCCTACTTAAACATAGATAGCCCTACATGTAACAGCTATGTACAAAAAAGTTATCAAATTGTCCTTGGTTTTACAATGATAAATGTAAAACATTAAAATTCTCCAATCAAACAAGGTATGCAAGGTTTTTTATGTTGTTCGTTTTTTGTTAAACAGTGAGAGCAAAATAACTTACTGGAATATAAAGATAAGAGCTGACTGAGCATGCCACTAATGGAGAGAAGGGGTATTGTCACAGAACCAGTATTTTCCCCATCCCATCTCCTTTTGAGGTGGATCCAAACATACCATTGGCCATTTAGATTAAAAAAATATGGAGTATGCTTGTGCACACACACAGTTACTCTATGTACAATAAAGGTAATGGGGAAGGGGAAAATGAAAGAATCGAGAAAATGCTACTGTAGTGGTCAGGATGTGGTGGGACCAGATTGTGGTTTTCTCGTTGAGAATGTCTTCTTGGTCTGGAGGAACAGAGGTCTGGAGTGAAATAGCAGGTTCCTTTTTTAGTGGACACCTCTGTCTGCTGCTGGAACACATCAACTGCGTCTTCATTGCCCAACTCCTGCTGTGCCGCTGTGTCTGTTTCATTGACTGGCTGCCCATCAAATCAGAATCTGATCTGCCTCATTGACAAACCCTGTCATTCACAATAGGCTTTCATCAGTTTACTAAGTGTGTCTTGCTCTTAATCTTAAACTGCACCACAGAACCATCCTGCCCTGCCACCTTCAAGTTAATATGATCATTTTTCTCAATCTTAACTCCCTGGGCTTTTTGTCAGCCATGGCGAGCGCCGGAGTCTCCTCAGCTGCTGCTTCACAAAAGAGCTACCAGGTCTGCACTGAACGATCATACCAAGAAGCTTTTAAAAGCACGACCTGAAGTTTCTTATGAAAACTGACAGCAGAGCAAACTCAGGAAGGCCTGTGGTAAATGACCATCCATTTTTTTTTAAAGATTTTATTTATTTGAGAGAGAGAAAGAGAGTGTGTGAGTAGGGGGAGGAGCAGAGGAGGAGGGTGCGGGAGGGAAAAGAATTTCAAGCAGACTCCAACCTGAGCTTGGAGACCTACACGGGGCTTGATCTCATGATCCTGAGATCATGACCTGAGCCGAAACCAAGAATTGGACGCTTAACTGGCTGATCCACCCAAGCACCCCTAAATGACCATTCTTGCTGCACCTGTGAAAGTAACCAGGTCAAATCTAATGAGGCCATCCTTATTTTGTGGTCAAGACTACACTTTCTTTGAGATTAGTTTTTGATCAAAAGTGGGGAGATGAAGGAAAAAAATTATTTCAATAGAAAACTATACACATTTCATAGTACGTTCTTCTAGGTATTCAGAGTCAAGCCCTCTTCATTATCTTTGAGCCACTTGGCAGCTTTTGTAAATTGCAGGTAACCGATGGAGATGCAAACTCTGTCTTGTCTGGTAGAGATTTAGTTGACTTCTCAGACAGTGTGGAAGAATCAGTTTTGATACCTACCTGCACTTTGGACTGAATCCTGCTAACCTTTCCCAAATTGTCAGTCCTTACTAAATTTTCAATTCCTCCAGTTTCCATCAATATCTGGCCACAACTCTCCTGATGAATGTTTACAGTTTCTCTCTCTCCCACCTAACTTGGCATCACCAAGACCAAAGCTTGACCACCCAGATCCGTTTTGGGTCTCTAGGTCATCTGACCATTTCCCCAGGCTCTGGAGAAACCCTGTGAGCTGAAGTCCGGTGACTTGTTATAAACCTGGAAGGAGTCCCCACTACAGCAGACCCTTCATGAGCTAGATTTCCCTGGACAAGTGGGTGAAAGGCTTGGGTCGCACATGCCTGCTATGAGAGGCAACCAAGGCTAGGAACAACATCTCTAAGAGCATTGACATCTAGCGTGGGAGTTTTCAGAAACTCAGTAAGCAGTGCTGCTGCATAACTGAAAAGATTTTCCTCCACCAACTTCTTGGAATTTACTGGATTAGATATTTTCAGGGTTCAACTCCAGGTACTTATAAAAAGCTTTTATATTAATAATTCCCTTTCCTATTTAGGCCCATCCATCTTTTAAGATGTCTGATCTCCAGGACCCTGCCACCTGACCTTTGCTACCACCTTCCAAAAGATGGTTCAACTGGTTTTATCAGAACCACACCAACAAGAATCCACGGGATACAAGTTTTCTTTTTCATTATCTTTTTTTATTGGAGTATAATTGGCAAGTGATATTATGTTAGTTTCATTTTTTAAAAGATTTATTTATTTGAGAAAGAGAGCACAGGCAGGGGCGAGGGAGAGAATCTCAAGTAGGCTGCCTGCTGAGTGTGGAGCCTGATGCAGGGTTCGATCTCACAACCCTGAGGTCATGACCTGAGCTGAAACCAAGAGTCGGACACTTAACTAGCTGAGCCATCCAGATGCTCTCTCCCCCTTTTTATATATATTAGTTTCAGGCTTGATTTGTTTCAGGTTAGAATTGATTCAGTAATTCTATACATTGCTCAGTGCTCATCACGGTAAGTGTAATCACCAACTGTCACCATACAACACTATTACAATATTATTGACTGTTTTGTATGCTGTGCTTTTTATCTCCATGACTTACTTATTTTATAACTGGAAGTTTATACCTCTTAATCCCCTTCGCCTATTTCACCCATCCTCTCCCACCTACCCTCTGGCCACCATCAGTTTGTTCCCAGTATTTAAGAGTCCATTCAGTTAGAATTTCTTAGGCTCTGCTTCGTACGCTCAGGAGGCTTATGATTGCCTCTGAGTTGTTCAACAGCAACTGACATTTGAAGGGAATAATCACACTGAATTTTCTTTGAGCCCTTTGCTCCTGGAAAGCAGAGAAACTCCCAACCCCTTTATGTTCTGAGAGATGGCTAATTGCGAAGGATCATCCTGTGCTTGCAGATTGGACCCTCCACCCTTTCTCACAACTCCCTTCTTCACCTGCTTCTGTGAAGTCCTAGGACCTTTCTGCTTGGAGGTACTCCTTACTAATGAACCTTCTCCTTAGTGCAATAGACTGAATACAATAATCTTCTTAATTGTCCCATGCATTTTATCTTGCACATGTTAAAAATTTAGCTTATTGTATCTTATGCATATTTTCAAATAATTTTCAATATTTTCAAGTAATACTGTTCCAGTTCAGTAGCATTATCACCTTATTTTTATTTATTTTTTGAAGATTTATTTATTTATTTTAGAGAGAGAGAGAGAGAGAGAGCACACAAGCAGGAGGGGCAGACAGAGAGGGAGAGAGAATTTCAAGCAGACTCCAAGCTGAGCACAGAGCCTGTTGTGGTGTTTGATCTCATGAGCATGAGATCATGACCTGAGCTGAAACCAAGAGTTGGATGCTTAACTGACTGTACCACCCAGGTGCCCCTGTTGCATTATCACTTTAAGACCATTAATTCAGAATTTAAAGAAAAAGGAATTGAATGATTTAAATAATTTAATAATTTAAATAATTTGAGAGACAAAATTTGTTTCTCAGAGCTTTAAAATTAGATATGAAAAAAAATGTTAGACCATCTTACAGGGTAATTTATCAGCAGCCTTGACTAGAGAAGTGCATCTAATGGCTGAGGGATCAATAAAGCTTATGCTTTTAGCTTTACATTCACATGTGGTGGGGAGTCTTGTCATTAAGGTGTGTGTAATTTAAAGTCCAGTTGGTTTTCTCCTAACTAGACTGCACTTGTTTTCATAATAGTAAAATGCTTTGCAAAGTAAAAAAAAAAAAAAAAAAAAAAAAATCACTGCTAGATGAAAAGTAGGTAAAAGAAATTACAGAGGTGGATCTGTTTCTGGAATATTGGAGTAAAGGGCATGGTGGACTTGATCCCCAACAAAACAACCATTTAATGGGAGAAAATCATTAAAAACAATAATTTAAAGCCCTGGAAATTATCCTAAGTGCATATAGCAAGTGGAGAAACAGTTATTCAACAAAATCTACTAAATCTCAATAAGAAGTCTGTAACAACTGAATCACAGCCCATTCTAGCCCATTCTTCCCCTGCCAGCTCCGTTTTATAGAAACGCTACTCTAGGTACTCTACTTTGGGCAGCCAAAAAGAGGAAGGCTTCCCCCCACAGACTCAACCTGTAGAGTAGAAGCCCTACGACAGCTGAGTGAGCCAGGAATGCTGGGACCTCAATCCCTACCATGCTGGATTGTAGGGGGAGGCTCCATAGCAGGAGGGGCAAGCCAAGAAGACAGGAACACCATTACCCTAGAGACCACTTTTATAGAAGTGTTACTCTGGGATAAGAGGGTTGCTGTCCCCAGGTGTAGATCCTGTGAAGGGTGCAGAGATTCTGTCCAGGGGAGAGTCAGGCCATAAAGAGCTCCCAGTTCTGACTGAGGGAGGCTGACTGTATTTTGGAACACAAGGTGGGAAATTCTGGCTAAGGGTGTTGTTGAAAACTATGGAGATTTTGGTCAAGAGCAATTAAGACAGTGCTTATAGCTCCATTATACTAGTGGCAACAAGCAAAATGGCAGAGCAACCAGAAATTTAACAGAGAGAACCAGGGAAGGAGATAGCCAAGAATAGTGCTCCTCAGATCACTGTCATCCCTGGGTGTCAGAAAGTTTGTATATAAAGCATTCACCCACTGAGAAGAAATCACAGCAGGACATGGAGCAGACTTGGAAACACTCCCCAGGCTGCACAAAGACCCATCAACACAGAGAGGAAGGCTTGCTGATACAAGGGCCTTACGTGCAACTTCTGACCAAACACTGGTTGAACAGTAAGCTACTCCAATGCAGGGGCAATGTCTAGGAAGCTGGGCTTTAACATAAAATCACACATATCCCTTGGAGTCTAGAAGACTGTGTGCATGGCCAAGGTTGAGCATTTTGGGGAGTGATTGGAGGGGGAAAATCCAAGCTCCTGGTCTCTGGCTGAACGGACAAAAACCAATTAGCCAAGCAACCAACCAACAAATAAGAAAATTCCTCTAACTGTGATAGCAGCATCTAAGACACACACACTTTCAATGGTAAAGAGAAAAAATTTTTGACCAGTAATGGCTTATGCTAACCCAGGGATGACCAGTAGGAAGCCAGGCTAAGAGAGAAAAGACAAAATCTGAGTAGGGACATCAGAAGCTGCACACTGCAGGGGAAATAGGCTTTACAGAGTTGGTTCAGCAAGTCACTAAATAAATGACCAAGCAACAACATCAACCCCTGGGGGGTGTAGGGAATTAGTATCCAGAGTTGCTAGAGTATATAGCTAAAATGTCAGTTTTCAACAAAAACAATTTTGAGACATGCAATAAAAGAGGAAATTGTGACACATACACAGGAAAACAACCCAAACAAACTGCTTTTGAAGGGGCCCAGATGTTGGACTTAGTAGACACATACTTCAAAGCAGCCATTGTAAATATTCTTGAAGAACTAATGGAAACCATACTTAAAGAATTAAAGGAAGAATTGGCGACAGTATCTCATGAGATAGAGAATATCAACAAAGAAATTATAAAGAAGAACCAAATAAAAAATCTGGAGATGAAAAGTACAATAACTAAAATGAAAAAAGTTACTGGGAGTTTTAACAGATTTGAGTTGCCAGAAGAAAGAGTCAGTGACTTTGAAGACAGAGTAATAAAAATAATGCAATCTGTAAAATGGGGAGAGAAAAAGTAGAAAAATGATCAGAGCTTAGGAGAAATCAGAGACACCATTAAATGCATCAACATATGCATAATGGAGAGGAGAGATAGAGAGGGGCATAACAATTATTAGAAGGAGCTGTGAATGAGTATTTCCCAAATTTGATGAAAAGCATTAATCTCTACATCCAAGAAGAATGAACTTCAACTAGGATAAACACAAAGAGATCCGTGCCCAGACATCATAGTCACAATGTTGAAAGCCAAAGATAAAATCTTAAAAGCAGCAAGAGAAGAACAATTCATCACATATAAGGAAAGTGCATTAAGAGTGACAACTGACGTCTCATCAGAAACAATGGAGACCAGCGGCACCTGGGTGACCCAGTCGATTAAACGTTCAACTCTTGATTTCAGCTCAGGTCATGATCTCAGCGTTGTGAGATTGAGCCCTGCGTCAGGCTCCATGCTGTGGAGCCGCTTAAGATTCTCCCTCTCCCTTTGTATCCCCCCCCACTCCCCTTTCCCTTTCCCTCTCTAAAATAAATAAATAAATACATACATACACAAATAAATAAATGAAAGCTTTAGAAACAATGGAGGCCAAAAGACAGGGTATGACATATTCAAAGTGCTTAAACTAAAAACCTGTCAACCAATAATTCTATATCCAGCAAAGCTATCTTTTAAGAACTAAAGACAGGGGCGCCTGGGTGGCTCAGTCGTTAAGCATCTGCCTTCAGCTCAGGTCATGATCCCAGGGTTCTGGGATCGAGCTCCGCATTGGGCTCCCTGCTAAGCGGAGAGCCTTCTTCTCCCTCTGCCACTCCCCTGCTTGTGTTTCCTCTCTCGCTGTGTCTCTGTCAAATAAATAAATAAAACCTTAAAAAAAAAAAGAACTAAAGACAAAAGGAAACTGATAGAACTTAATTGCTGACAGGCCTGACTTAGAAGAAACACTAAAATTCCTCAGACTGAAAGCAAATAACACTAGATAATAATTCAAATCCCCATGAAAAACAATGTCAGTTAATTACAAAAGACAGTATAATTGCATATTTCTTCTCTCTTCTCTTAACTCATTTAAAAAGTAATTACCTAAGATATATGTATATACATATATAGCTAGGCTTTTTACATATAGAAACATAATATGTGTCAACATTTTGTAAAAATGTTATTTGGCAATAATAGCACAAAGGTGGTAGATGGGAACACAGCTATTTTGGAGTAAGGTAATGACACGAAATGGTAACTCAAGTCTACAAGAAATAGAAATGCTAAATAAGAAGGTTAATATAATAAACTCTATAAATGTATATTTGCTTCAGTTTCATGTCACAGACTTTTAAAAGATGTCAGATTATGTAAAGTAATAATTAAAACAATGTATTTTGAGATTTATAATGTAGATGGATATAGTACGTATAACAACACAGAAAAGGGAAGGAGACCTCTCTAGACCACTCCACCCAACAACAGCAGAATATACATTCCTTCTCATGCGCATATGAAACATTCTCCAGGATAGATCATATTAGACCATGAAAATAAACCTCAATAAATTG